TCAACATGTCAACCCTGAGGTACTAGTAGCCCACAGAACACATTCTAGAAATTTAGCTGTACACTTGTACATTGGGGCACTACAAAGGATTTCACTTTCTCTCATCAAAGCTGCCAATTTTCACCATCACCCCCTCCCCCAATATTGTATTACATCAAACACATCCCACCTAAGATTCTTGGTAAAAGTAGTTCTCACTGTAATAAAGATTGGAGACCATCAAGCTAAACCACACATTTTTAAATTAAACTTTTAGAAAGCAAACCAGTTTACATATCGGGTTGCCCCATTGTATGGATTAGACATAGAAGGCATTACATCCATGTCAACACTCAGGACAACCCATGTCAAACATCCATGACATTACAACATCCATGTCAAAACAACACGCAAAGTGAAAAATATAAACCTGCAAGTTTTAACATTTTGTGTGCATAAATATCCTAATTGTGAGCCCAAATATGAAACTAGAAAGCACCAAAAGAAGACTTGCGTGTGCATGTAGTCATACCATTATGTCCTGATTTTAGACAACAGCATTTGGCCCATTTTGTCAGAGAAACTGGACACCAACTTCCAACAACAATACTGAATATATAAATATACCAGTAATTTTCAACCACATTTATTTTAAATAATTTTAACTATTACTGCTCACAGATTCCGTATTGATCTGTTGATACATCAGGACAGGAACCACATTACAGTTACAGTAAAAGTTAAAGGGTTAAAAAGTAAGGACATTTTTCATACATTTTGGAAAAAATCCCATCCTGCATTACCCACTTAACAGCATAAACCATCTACCTTGTTGTATAAGGGTATAAAAATATGCTACATTTCACAATACTTTATTTTTATGCAGCAGATAACTAGCTAAAGAGTGTGTAAACAAGGGTGAAAATCTCTAAGCCACATCAAACTCAAGGTCTGTGAGCTACATCTGGTACAATTCTTTACAGACTGCAAAATGAGTTTGATATCCTGTTAAAAAATGCCTGGAAATAGAGGTGTAATGGAACACAAAACTCACATTTCGGTAAAAACTTGAGTTTTGAGTTTGTGGTTTGGAGTAATTTCGGTACAGCAAGGAAAATAGAATTTGTTTTGAAATTATTACGCAAACTAAGTTTACAAACACAATCTAGAACAATTGTAAACCAATGGTAATTTGTTAGACATTGACATGTCTGAATAACAAAACCTAAGGGACACTTAGTTGCACATTGTAAAAACAAATATATAAAATTTAAATTCAAAAATAAGACTGAATAATAACAATCATAATGAACTAGATCACATATTTTCTACTGCCAAGTACAGTTCCATATCTGTGTCGATAAACAACCCTGTAGCTTTCCTTTTTTTTGTTTTTTTAGCCTGGTCTGAACTTTTTGGCAAACGTGCTTTAAATGCCACAGGAAGATTAACTTGAAGAGACTGTTTCGATCTTGCTCCAGTCATACACACTCTGATGTCGTTGTCTCAAATAAGCCAGCATGTTGGATGCATTTCCAGCAGCATAGTGTAGAGTTCAGTATAACAGGGCTGATAGATAGTCTTGTTCTTATCAACCACTCACTGGTGTTGGTGTAATTTATTGGGGAAGCAAAATGTTTCCAAACACTTAGTTATGTCTGTACCCAGCTTTAGCTACAACCAACTAAAAGCAATTAGCATGTTTTCCGCGTTGAACATCTACTTAAAAACTTGGGTTCCACCTTTGACAAATAACATATTCATTTGTTTCATTGCATGCTCTGAACTGAAAATGACATAACTGAACCGCACAGGCAGAAAATGTGCACTTTTACAGACTTACCAAGGACTTAGGGAGCAAAAATTCTGCAAGACGTTCTATTTGCAGTCTGGGTGTTTTCTTTTCGAGACTAAATTCAGTTGCATTTTAAAGAAGGATGGAGGGGATAATGTGAAATAAAACCAGCTTATTAATAGTTCATCTGGTCAGTGGACTCATTTAATTTTTTATCCTCAGAGAGGTTTTTGTATGATTGCTCAGTTCTATTTAAAATAAATTTCCAGAAATAATGTTTACTACACAGTTCATATTTGTAAATGTTGTTTGCATATAATAAAGATTTATTGGAAAAAAAGGTCATACCATTTATAACTACATAAATAAGCGTTAGTCAACCCACAGATTTGTTGGTAGTTTGTAACATGACCCTTTCAATAACCGAGTTTAACACACCAGCTCTAGACAGCTAAAGACGGCTTGTACACTTTTTCTCCTCACAGAGGTGACAGTTAGGTAAATCAAAGTGCTGAACAGGGTAAAAAGTAACCCAAAAAAGCCCAGGAGAATGATTTGTCAGGAAAATATACTACTTATAATAATGCAACTGCAAACTGGGACTTGCAAGCAAAGCCTAATAGCCAAGTCCAAAGCAAGCAAGTTTCTGTCTCAAACTGAAGTAAAACTAATCATCCAGGAGATGAGGCACAGTGTCAGGGAACTTACACCAAGTCACACAGATATGCTATTCTTGATCAACATTTCCTTAACAGTTCTACAAACATGAGCCATTAGTTTCACAAGTCTTCCCAGTTATTCTGCAGCTATGCCCCAGAGTGCTTGCGTGTGGTTTTTTCACTGACTCTTCTGTGCAGTTCGACCTCATCTAAGTTCTGCAGCACAGAGGTCTGGAGTCAAGGCAGGCCAGCTCATTGGTCTAATTTGTTCACATCCTTTTTAGGCCAGAGTATTTGAAGTACATTCGGAGTTCTTGCTGAATGAACTGTCAGCGGAAATCACACATGCAAAGTTCATGCCATTACCCTCTCCCCAACTTACTTCCTAATATGTCTCACTGGCCCATAAACCAAATTCCACTCCTCAGACATCTAGTCTTTGTTTTTTTTGGCCAAGGTGACTTTTTGTCCCTTATTCTGCACTTTTAATAGTGGTTTCTTTGCAGAAATTCTTCAAGTGAGGCCCGCTTCACACAGTCTTCTCTGAGCAGTTGATGTTGAAAGATCTGTACTTCTAGAAACATGTAGCTGAGTCTTCATGAGTGCCTGCTTCTTCAACTCATTTGACGGTTTTCATCCACACTGATTTATTAACATGGGGTAGGCCCTCCTTTTGCATGCAGTACAGCATCAATTCGTCTTGGGAATGACAGATACAAGTCCTGCACAGTGGCCAGAGAGATTTTGAGCCATTCCTCTTGCAGTACAGTGGCCAGGTCACTACGTGACGCTGGTGGAGGAAAACGTTTCCTGACTCGCTCCTCCAAAATATCCCAAAGTGGTTCAATAATATTCATATCTGGTGACTGTGCAGGCCATGAGAGATGTTCAACTTCACTTTCATGTTCATCAAACCACTCAGTCACAAGTCTTGCTGTGTGTATTGGTACATTATCATCCTGGTACACAGCCCCACCTTCAGGGTAAAATGTTTGAATCATTGGGTGAACATGGTCCTCCAGAATGGTCAGGTAGTCCTTGGCAGTGACTTGCCCATCTAGAACAAGTAGTGGGCCAAGGGAATGCCATGATATTGCAGCCCAAACCATCACTGACTCCCCCTTGTGCTGCACACTGGGTACACAATAGTCCAGGTGGTAAGCCACTTTGGAGCTTCTCCACACCGTAACTTTCCTGGATGTGGGAAAAACAGTGAAGGTGGACTCACCAGAGAACAACACATTTTTCACATTGTCCACAGCCCAAATTTTGCGCTGCTGGCACCGCTGAAACCAACATTCTGCATTGACACAAGTAATCAAAAGTTTGCCAACAGCAGGTTGACTATGCATATTGAGCCTGTGGAGCTCCCGACGAACAGTTTTGGTGGAAACAGGAGAGTCGAGGTGCGCATTTAATTCTGCAGTGAGTTGGGCAGCTGTGATTTTATGTTTCTTGGATACAATCCGGGTTAGTTCCCGGACATCCCTTTCAGACAGCTTCCTCTTGCTTCCACAGTTACTCCTGTTGGATGTGGTCCGTCCTTCGTAGCGGTATGCCGACATTACCCTGGATACTGTAGCTCTTGATACACCACAAAGACTGGCTGTTCTGGTCACAGATGCACCAGTGAGACGAATACCAACAATTTGTCCTCTTTTGAACTCTGATGTGTCTCCCATTATGTTGTATGGATTGTAATACTTTATGTACAGCTGTGCTATTGCTTTGCTAATTGAACCTTCACACTCTACTCATACTAATGGAACGTGCAATCAGTGAAGATCGGCCACCAGGCCATGTATTTAGGCGTGAAACCTCAAAACACGATTGGCCAGTATTTCAGTTTCATTGTCCAACTCCTGTACGTATTGTCAATACACCCTCAGCTGTTTTTGGTTTACAAAAACAACTAAAGTAATTTGGTGATGTGGAGATCAATCAAGGAAATTTCAGCTAGTGTTACAGACAAATCAAGGCTTCATACTAAATCCCCTTCCTTTGATATTTACAAGATCTCCAATTTTGGTTAAAAATCAATTTCTCTGACTTCAAACAGATTATGTGGATTTCAGGAGTAAACCATACATGTCAGAGTCGTCAGAGAGCGCTTTGGCAGGAGACCATGAATTTAAACACTGTTGTTGATGCTCAGACCATCAAAACCGCATGCTTCCACAGCTTCCATTCCGTTACCTGAGGACAGATAGAAATATTAGCAACAATGGCAATTGAAAACAGAGGAAAAATCAAAATGAATGTAGCACAATTAGATTTCAGTCATGGACTAAAGAATAACCTAGTCTCCTCAAACTGTCTTGTCTTTTCAGGAGAGAGCAGCACTTTTGATACTACAGACAATCAGAACCCAGGTCAAATCATTACAGGACAAAAAAAACTAAAAACTGGTGGACAAATGCCCAGTTTAAACAAGCATCTTAACTTGCCTGAAAGTCAGCAGCTGGGTCCTTCACCTACAGTAGGAATGGAAAGGAAATAAATCGGTGAACTATCAAGAATGAGTAAGTGGAGAGACATTTTCATATGCATCATACATAGTGAAAAGTAATCTCCTCAGGCCTTGTCAGGACAGAGGCACTTGCGTCACCACATAGATTCAGAGTCCAGTGCAAGGCATCATGGGAGATCGCCACCTCACCCGCGATACCAAAACTCATTTTAATTTTTCCAAAAACAGTTCACGTTTTCTACAGTAACCCCCCCCCCCCCCCAAAAAAAATAAATAAATAAAATAATAATATTAATACATAACATTTTATTAATTCTGCTTTTGCTGGGAAATATAAATTCACTAATGCACTAATGAACAGGACAGTAGTGGAGATGGAACACAATGACTACAATGACCACTACACAATTTTGTGTTCAATAAATTCATTCGAAAAGCTAGAAAACCTAAAAAAAAAATATTCTGAGGTAAAGCACTTACAATAAAGGCGAGCAGCTCATCAGTTACTTTTGGCACAATGATGACTGGTATAAATAACCACAAGCCAATTCAGTTTCCCCAGACCATCATCATATTTACTAGCGCATACAATGGCAAAAAAAAATCCGCCACGGTAAAACTAAATACGTCAACTAGACAGATTCTGCAGGCAACGTACCGCACAATTCTGTAAGCCAGAGAAGTACATTGAAGTACGAAAATCAATAAGAGATCAATTCTCTTATTAAGGAACAATATTTGACTCTGATAATGCTATCTTATTTCCACCGCCAGATGCGCATAACTCATGTCAAAACAGATGCTCATAAGTTGGAAGATATGGTACTTTGTCATAATAACTTTCGGGAGCGTAATATCCTCACGTGTTTCCCAGTTACATTTAGAGCACAAAGCTGGACCACGTGCTTATAAGAAACGACACTAATTAGCCTGGCGCGTCCAGCATCCCTAATTACGAATGAGGTCTTTTATTTCAACTTTATAACAAATTAACATAACTATACAGTTCAACAAAAATCCTATGGCGCCGATCTGAAACATCCCTCAAATAAAACATTATGCGACAATGTGATTCAAGTCGCCCAAATCTGTACATCTCAAGTGATACATCCCTTAAAATTATGAAAAACGAAAAAATTCGACACCAGAGTGGTAATTTAAACATACCCCTACATTTCTTACAGCTGACACTATTCACAATAAAACTGATCATCAACTGATAGTCATAGTGAACTGAAACCGATCGCGATCTTCAAAATAAACCAAAACGACAAATCCACAGATAATTAAAAAGCAATCCTTGTTTCCAAAATGTCACAAAAGCATTCCTAACACTAACCTGAGCAGCACACTGGCTGCAGACTCCTTTCGAATCAACATGGGTGGCTTAATACGCACGTAATCGAAGGACCCCGGATGTTGTACGAGGTTGTCCGGCGTAATACCCTCTATAGCGGATCTTGCAAATATTTTTTCTCGTGTTTTTTCAAATTGTTCCGTATAACCCTAACCCTAACCCTAAGTATCTTTATCCTCGTAAAATAGCAATCATTTTAAAGACGGTGTCAATTAAAGTTGATACATTATCATTTATTATTCTCCACTAACTTAAAAGAAATGTATACTGATAACCCGTGTCCACAGAAGTTCACGCATGGCTGTTTTATTTAGAAGAAACCGATATGGAAATCGTGTACCCGTGTGTGTGTGTTTGTGTGTTAAAAAAAACACGTATCATTTATACATTTCACATTTTCTTTTGTTACTTTCCCCCCGCAAAGTTATGTCCTGACTAATTGTGCTGTTTAATAACGAATTTTAACACATTATTCCGATAAAAAAATACTGACAATACCTTTTGAAACTATAAAATATAGTTAGGCCTAATAAATTATTTGGTGTCCTGTTAATGAATTATGGAAAGATTAATAATACCTGCAAACATAAAAAGTAAACAAATAACTTAAAAAATCTGCTTCTGCTTTCCATATTTCTTGAACATACTGGGAAAGGATACACACGTTTCCTCATAGTAAATGTATACTAAGAATATCCCAGTATCACTGGTAGAGGTATGCAGATCAATAATATAGCTGTTTTTGTGGAAGGAAGAATACGTGAACCATATACCAGGCACAGCTGACCATTGCTCCATCTCCTTACTGTCCAACACACTGGCAAAGGCCACTTATGTCCCTGAAAAACACGGGACGGTGGCTGTTTCTCAGAACCACCGTTTCTGGGATCAACAATCAGCCCACATTTAATAATTGCTTAGAGCAGGCACCTTAGCCATTCTACTGAACAGCTGTACGGTAAGTGAACCTCCTGACCCTGTCTGCCTAATGTGAGTATGCAGTTGTGGCCCCATGATTTGCAGTTTCAAGGAACAGGCTATTCACATTAATGAGCATGTATACCTAATAAAGTGGGCACTGAGTATATGTTATAATACCAATGTGAATTGTATGTAAATTTGAACATTAATGAAGTAGTGGTTGCACGTTTATCTGTTTATCAAAAGCAGTTGCACACGCCTGTCTCACCCCGTTTCCCTTTTCACCCCTTCAAGTTACACTGAGGTGACCAAGGCAGCTGTACACAATATGTGACATATTGACAGGACAGGAGAAGATTCGTAGATGTCAGACTGCATAGCATGTAGCAGATGTGTG